GCAGGCGAGATGGGCTGGGCTGCAACATGGGAGTGGAGTGCGGATTGTGCTGAAAGGGATCTGACCTACACCTTCCTCTCCCTCCCATTCAGCCCGGTGCCTCGGTACCTGCTAGCATCAGGGGAGTCTCGCGAGAAGTCTGTTCTCTGTAACAGACAGTGTGACGGATGCCTCTTCATTTATAATGGCATAAATAAACACACATTCACTTTACTAGACTCCCTGCTAAACACATGGCTTTTTTCACTGGCAGAAATGGATATAACATTAAAAAAGTGGATAGCTAATGCAGAGTGCTTCCTAGTACAGTCTGTACATGCCTGCCATTGAGATAGTAGCTACTTTCCTGCCACAAGAGTACTCTAATTCTGATTCTTTTCTATATTTTCCTTCTTTTCTCTCAGGGAACACCTTTCAGAGATATGACCCAAGAGTTCAGGAAACTCACTATTATTAGGCTGCATGTGGAATTGCAGCACAGTTATGATATGGGCTTCAGACAGAATTGTCTTTAGCACACAGTATATAAAATTTATTCTCTGGCTTTTGCAGATGCTTTAATTTCTTTTAAAACAAAGATTTTAGTAATTATTTTTCTATTTGTAAAGGTCTGAAAAAAGAATGTTTGCAACTCACTAATGAAAATCTATTTTTTCCCACAACAACTATAGATATTCATAAACAAAATTTCCATAACATAATAAAGGAACAACAATTATATGGTAAATTGCCCGCTACATGGCCATTATTTGAATTTTTTTTTTAAAATCAGGTGTACAACAAAACAGTAGTAATTTAAAATATTATTTGCATTAAGTTTCTTATCTGTAAACATTTTTCTGAATTTCTTAAACAATTAACTTTATCCATAAAATACTAGGAGTTTATGATGACCACACATTAACAAAAGAATGGGAATCCTATTCCAACCATCTTATCAAACCAGGTAATGATGTCCTGCCAGCCAAACTCAGAGGGAACATTCAAAATAAATACTAAAGTAAACAGGCCTTAAGCTGCCTAAGGGAAAGTCAGCAAGATGGCAATTTCAATCATTTGGAATAATACTAAAGTCGCCCTAGGCTTTTCTCAGAATGGAAACATGTCACTGTTACTGCAATATTTCAACAAATCAGAATGCAAAAGAAAGGAGCTCTTATGTAATCACATTAGTAGAACAGCACTTTATTCAAGATTTAAATGGAAAAAATCACGAGAAAATTCCCCTTACGTGAATAACTGTAAGTGAACATATATGAATATACAAAAAAAGTTTCCTTAAAGTTCTGTAGGATTTTAAAAACTTAAAATTGAGACACAGGTTTTTAAAATACTTTTAGTACAAAGGACTTTTACACCAAGGAAATCTCTGAAGAAACTAAATGGCATGTTGTAAGTGAAAAATCTAACAAATACTGGTACAAGTTACACTCAGTTATACATACAAAAAAGATACTTCAAACACTAATCTGTTGGAAAGTTTAAGTAAGATGAATAGGTTGCCATATTTTTTAACTGAGAAATCAAAAAATATTTCAAATATTTGGGAAACTTACCTAATCAGTAAACATTTAGTGTGTGTCTAGTCATGTAGCCATCTTTTAGTCAATCATCAGAAAATCAAAGGCAAATTGGCATGACTCAACCTAAACTTTAATACCGCATGATTGTGTCGTGTAAGCTTGTTTTGTGCGAGGGCTGCTGTGGTTTTAGCAGAGAGATTAACAACCGGACCTAAGCTGGCCTCCAAACCTTGCCCTGCTGATGCCTCAAGCCCTTTGAAGTCTGACCATCATACCTGGCAAAACAACAGTGGGAACTAGGATGGTGTCAGATCTAATCAAGTTGCCTGCCTCAGCATAGCTAACTATGGAGTACACTAATTGGCCCAATTGCGGATTATACCTTTTGCTACAGATTCAAGACAATAATTTAGTCAAATGATGGTTTTTATCTCCTTCTAATTAAGATTCCAAAGTGGGAAGAAATAGGATTAGACAGGCTAACTTCAAAATTGTGTCCTTTAAAGAGGTATGCACATTAGCTCAGTCTACTTCGCCATGTTAAAATACAGCAACACTTAAAGGGTTTTAGGAAAGCTACGTACAACTGTTGTAACTCTTATCAAATATAGTTATGTTTCCCTGCCAATGGCTAATCGAAATACTTTAAAAATAAAACATACATCCATAAGAACATTCAGAGTATGTATTTTAAAAGTTCAACAAACACATCCATCTTCAACACAAAAAGTACTCCCACAATGGAATACTTTTTACATCTAATTTTTACAAAATTTTCATCTAATTTTTACAAAATCCAAAAACTCATAAAAGACTATTCATTATCTTAGGCAAACTTTCATGAAAAAAACTTTAAAAAATCAAATTGTACTAAGCTGTATAAAGTGTAACTATCCTCTTAGAAATAATTAATTCTATTAACACAAATGTGACCTCTAAGCCTTTATTGAGGGCCAAACTATAGGTAGTTAGGTTTACTAATGAGAAAGGAAAATCTGTGGTCTACTAGGGACATTCAAAGTTGATACTGCGATGAAATAGGAAGCTGAACATCTTTTTTTGTGGCGATAAAGAGGCCTCAATCACTGCACACATTACATATGGTGCCATTTGAGAATCAGTAGTCTAGTATTGAAAATTTCCTTGAGGAAATGTTGTCACAAGTCATATGTTGTGGTTCCCTCCTTAATATTAATAATCTGGTTTATTAAATCTACGCCTAGGTAGAGTTCAACATCACATTATCAGATGTTTAACATACTTCACATAGATATTTTCATATTGTCTAAAATTGTAATGTATTTAATTTTTTTGTTACCTTTTATATTATTTACAAAGGATTTGGAATTCACTGCTGACTCCATAAATATGAACCGCAATATGCAGTTTTGAGTAATTATATCCAGCTTCTACCTTTTTTATCATTTTGGTTTATTTTTTCAAAAGCAAATCTGGTCAGTCAAGCCATGCTTGGCCTGCTCTTTCTAATACAGGGAAGAAGAGATGCTTATTTAGGTTGTAGTTTGGTGAAAAAGACATAGGGATAGCACAGAAGGAGAATGGCCTAAGTTGTTCAAAGAAGATGGAGTTGCCTGAGCTTGGTTTATAGAAAGTTTATCCCCATTAAGAACTAAAATTATTAAAAAGGGGTCCCTATCTGAACAATGAGGATTGAAATTATTCAACTAGGTCATCTACCCATCTCTACAGCAACAGTTTTTTTCCCCAGGGGCTCCATAACATCCCTGATTCAAACTCTTTTGTGCCTTGGCTGATGAAATTCTTTATATAGCCTCTCCTGATTTGGTTTTTATCAATAAAAAGTGCTAACCTTAGCTCTTGTGGAAAGAAGAATCATCTTCTGATCCAAGCGAGAAAAAACTGAAATATTTCAATTCATACATGAAGTAAATGTGAATTTAAAATAATAAAAAATAATGGTGCATATTTGCTTGTGTTACTGAAAAGAATTACAGCTTCTGTCTAAAACCTGGCATGAATCTAGGACTGATTTAAAAAGCCAAATAAGTCTTCTGACAAACTGAAATTATGTTACAAAGGTCTAAACCACTATGGTGCTTTATTCCTTTAACTGTATTTTCCAAGAAGTGGGGAGAAAATTGAAAACAAAAATCAACTTTAAACCCCCTCCCCTCCAACAGTCTCCTTCATGCATTTGGCTTCTAATAGCTTCTGAGGGGAGTATCTCCAGTAGAGAAACTTCTAGCTATCATGCAGAGATGACCCGAATGAAGAAGTGGCTGACCGATTAACTATTAACTACTCTCAATAGGATTAGATAATTAAGGACATTGATGACCATTAATTAGGAGGAGGACACCTTAATTTGTCACTTGATAGGGCCCTTTCAATGATGTATAGGTTAGGGCTACTTACAATTGTGAAGAGAAAGCGAAAAAAAAAGGGGAGGGGGAGAAGGGAAAGAACCCTTACTTTACCTTATCAAGTGGCCAGCTAAAGAGGGCAGAGGGTCAAATAAGGGCCAAAGTGGTCACTTAAGGGTGAAGTCCCAAACACCAAAGCAGTGCCAAGCCACATTGACCATCATTTGATGATGAAGTAAAAAATATGCTAATTTATTGGTTGCAATTCTCTCTTTTATGGTTTCAAGCAGTTAAGACAAGTGGCTTGCTTAAGAGCTTTTCATTTGAAAAGAGATTAAACAAAATGGTTTGTCAGGACTGCTTGGCTGTTTTATGTCTTTGTTAAAAAAATGCTCAGACAATATCGATGACTATCATATCATCCAAAAAGCTATCTTTCTTCTCTGAACATTTAGTTCATTAATAAATACATCAACTCTAATTGTTTAATAGTTCTATGTTCATTTGCTCTTTAGCAATATTAACATGAAATACATCTTTTGTATTACTCCTCTCCATCAGGACTGTCTGTACAAAGGTCAGAGGAAAAAAGTTTAAATTTAGTAGAAAATTTACTAAAGGACATTAGTGTAAGTGATACTGTGTTTAAAATGACATAAAAGAGCTAAAGGTGATTTCAGCAATGCAAAGAAAATGGTTTCTGAATACTGATAAGGACATTTATCCCTCATGCCACACACACACTTTTAGGCAGCATTATACATTAAAATCCCTCAACTGGGTAATAACATGTAGCTATTTTCCCACTCACCAACACAAGTAAGTCATTAACATTTAATTAAATGCTCCTGACATCCTCAGAAATATGTTAGGCTTTGTTACTGAAGGTTGTGGCCTACTTCCTAAGTACATTTTGAAGCAAAATAAACTGTTTATGCATAATCTGTGCTATAGAAACTTATTTTAAATATGACCGCACAAAATAATATTTTATAAAACCATTCTAAACAGGTGATCCACAATTAAATGAACATGTAACAAAACAAAATTTAAAGTATTTCACAAAACTAAAGATAAGCATAAGCTCCCACCTTTTGGGTTCTAAATAGTGAAAGAAAACTCTTTCTCTTACCTCAATGGAGAACAGCTTCCTTTTTAATCTAAAAGCAAGGTCCTTCGTGCCTGACACATCACAGATCAAGCTATTAAGCTGAGGAATCTGGTGTACATGAATCAAACCTTGTGGAAAAGAAAAGTAAAAGGAGGAAAAACTGTAAGAAAATGCTGTCATCCAGATGTATAAATTAAAGAGTCTTACCGCAGAATTCTGTACATTTACACACACTCATCCTCCCCTTTTTAAACTGCAGCTTACTACCAAGAGCAATGAAGCAAACGGTGCGATTATACTCAAGTAATCAAGCAGAATAAGATAAACAGAAATCCCTGTGCGAGGAAAACTAATTGCACTTTGGTACAGAAGTACAGATGTAAAGAGGGATCTTAATACTTGTCAAAACTACAGCCGGTTTGTGTGTGATTTTCTCTTGTATTTACAGTAAGCAAATATGGCTATCACCTTGCATGCTGCCCACGGCACCACTGAGTGATCTTTATTTTATTAAATGCACCAGTAAGCAGCCAGCAAAACAAGGCTTATGGGTTACTGATAACCAGTGAAGCTGTAATGAAAAGTATTTCATTTTGTACCTTGATAATGACTTTTAAAAGTGCATTTAGAGTACACTTTTTGATCAATTTTAATCCCTACATCATCCCAACAAAAAAGAATTTTCTATAGCTGTTCTGATTTCTTATAACAATACTCGGTGCACTGCTAGCTCTGCATTCCGTCAGTTGAAATTCAAGCTGATTTTTTCTGACAAGGACGCTGGATGGTTTTTGTGCAGCCTAATACAGTGTCTGAAAAACCTAGGGGTTATTTTTCCACAGTTAAAAAATGGAATATTCTACAATGCTCTCAATTACTGGCCTACATTTGATATTCACTTATTCAATGTGTCTACATTGCAGGTGCAAATTCAATATTACATTAATTTAGAACTTTCACTTGAATACAGCCACTGTGAGGAAAAAAAATTAAGACCAATCTGGAGAATTTTCAATCTTTATTTTTCATAAAGATAAAGAAAAAAAGTTTAGTTCACTTTTAAATAGTGTTTTACAAATACCATCCTATTTTAAAATTCTTCTAAATACCTAGTAAAATGTTATAAAATAATAAAACAATTCTTTTTTCAATTCATTGCATTCTAAGAATTACATAGTTCAAAATGTGACCATAATGTGTAGGTGGAGTGGTTCCATGAAAACAGAGCTGTAAAATATTATTAGATGAGTTTAATAAAGAGATATCTACACCCTCTTCAGTCTTCACTTATTTTTCACAAGTTTTAAAGCCTACAGTTTTGCATTAAACAAAATAATAAATTCAGGATTTACCCGTAAATTCAGCAATGTCATCAAAACATTCTGTTGAACATTGTCTATAGGCAGAGACTTATATTATCTACAGCGAATAATGCATTTTTTAGAAAGAAATGTTCAGGAAAAGAAACCACACCTCTAAACTAATAGAAAATTTTGAAATCTGCAAAATCTGATAATTTTTAGAGTTTTAGATAAAGAGAATCTTCAAGAAAATAAAAACCAATAAAGCTTTTATGTTTACTGTTATTTATTGGGAAAACAACCTTAAAGATTTAACATGAGTTCTTAAAGGAAATACAGGTTAGGAAAGACATATATTGTCTTAAAGACTTCCTTCATTATTAAGAAAAGTTTTATTATGTTAACTGTATTATATTAATGGAACTGAATTAGAATGCAAAAATGCCTTAGTGGGCCTATACAATAGGCAAATTATTTTTGCAGTTGCTTGTTCCTTTTTTTGCCACTGTTTTCTAATAATTAGATGCACTTTTTTCATTTCTTTCTTTTTAAAAAGGTTTGCTCTGATTTATGAAACTACAGCCTGAACACATACAGTAATATATGGTGCTCTTCAGTACCATTTCAGCTTCATTTTCCGTGTTCTAGCATGGAAAAACATCACCACATTTTCACATGCTTACAGCAGGCTTCAAATAAGCAGTTCAGTCTTTAGACTAGAGGTTTCCATGGAACTACAGTAGTATCACAATAATAATAGCAGTAATTTATGCGCACTCAGAGCACCACTCTGGATTAGCTAAAACTGTTTGTTATTCACTGCTTGGACTATGCATATCTTCTAATCTGTCAGAATTTCAATAGTTCTGCTGCCAAAACTTTTATAAAATCTTTGCTAACCGAGACTACTGACTAAACACTGATAAACATGTTGTAAATAAGTCACTAGAAAGCTGAGAGAAATAAGTTTCTGTACAAAAATTAGTTTCATGTTTGTTTTTAACTGCACAAATTTCCACACTTGATACCTTTGAAGGATGAGCTGCCAACATTAAAAGCAGTAAGTAAGCAATAAATAATATTTGGACACAAAGTTTTGCATACTGCATCATTTGGTAGTTTATTCACTTAAATATATCATTTTTCACATTCTCTATTTAAAAGTTGGCAGATTAGAAATATTGATTTCATGACAAGTTCAGCTCACTGGTCAGATGATTGCCAAGCCTCCCCTGCATGTGAATTCCCCAAAGCCTGCCTGTTGAGATGTACATCTGATTGAGCCATGCCTCAGTAATATGGCTTGACAACATGCAAGGAGTTGCCATGTTTCCTTTGCAGCCTTAATGCACTTTACTGAAAAACTGCCTAACTCAAGATTGGTTAAGCAGCGGGTAACATTTAAGAGGTATATTCCAAATTGAAATCAAATGCTACTTTATAGTAGATACTCCTATATGAGAGTAAGCTGCTAAGTGCCCTAGAAGCACTCCATGCAGACTCTCTGCATTGCTAAAGATGGAACTTACCATGGTAATCCTTGTATAATGGATTGGTTTCTCTCTCAGAGCCGATAAATGATTCAAGACCAACTACCGTATCTGACAAGTTTGTTACACGTTCCATAATTGCTTTATTCTGTAAAACACGGAAACAAAATACACATCTTCTGTGAAGAAAAAAGTAATTAATGTTCTGAGAGTAAGTCTTTTTCTTCTAATAACAAACTGAAGTAAAATAGGTCATCAATACCTAGAAATAACCAGAAACAAACAAACAAAAAAGCTTCAAGTAATCTGCAACTAAGGGAAAACATGCCTCCACAAGGATCACACAGAGAGGGATCTAATTCGGAACTAAATTCCATACTTGTTTTAAATCTTCATTTTGATTTATGCAGTTATTCACACTGAGAAAGATTTTGAAAGGCATATGACAGCCAACTTTCATTGACTTTCAATGGAGTCTAGATGCTCAACTGCCAAGTGTGCCTTGGAAAACCTCATCAATTGAGAAATGTATTAACATACGATACATACATTACAATATTCTCCAAAATTCATTACACAATTACATGTTTTAAAATAGTATAAAAATAAAAGATATTATTAATACAGGTTGAAACTCTGTAGTCCAGCACTCTCTGGTCCGGCAATATCCATAGTCCCGCATGAATTTAGTTAGCCAGATGTCCATTTATCATGCATATGGCCAAGTTTCCTGCAGTCCCATAAAGCTTTTTTACAGTCACCAGTCCTGCCTCAATGTTCTCTGCTGTTATTTAGCTCTAATTTACCCCTAAATGCCTTCTAAGAACCCAATAAGCAGTGGAAGAGTTAGTAATGCTGCTAGACCGCCTATAAGCAGTGGAAGTGTTAGTAATGCTGCTAGACCTCCTATGGTTTGACAAATTCTCTGGTTCGGCACCAGTCAGGTCCTGAAGGTGCTGGACTAGAAAGGTTCAACCTGTACATTGATAAAGTCACAGACATAGCACATTATACTAGAATATACAAGGGTTTTAATTAAAAAAAATATAAAATACAAAACCCAATATCCCTCAAGATACCATATTTAACAACATGCTAACCTACTATTGGCTACTGAGACACCTGCAAAACACATGCGGAATGGGAATGTTTCTTCTTAATGTTAGTAGGAAAGTGTCTTTTACACCATCCCCAAAAAGCTGTGCCTGCTCCATGCAGGCCATTTTCCTCAAGCCTGCAGGACTACACTCACCAATCCCACAGTGGTCCTCCCCAAGTACCTTACATAGTTCAATCCTGTGGATTGCTGAACTTTCAAAACGACCACGAGTGTGGGGGCCAACACATCCTGGTTTCACATGGAATCAGATATGTGCAAAGTCATTACAAGGTTAAGGGCAATTCGCTGTTGTACTGTGTCGTTTGGTTAGAAAGGAAATTCTAAATGATTGTTTGGAATATGGTAACAAAGATTGACTGCATGTTTAATTCACACTATTATGACATCACACACTATTGCAAAATTAAAGCTGCCCTGGTGAACATTTTCTCTCTCCAGTTAATATCTGGCCAGCAATAATGCTACACACTAACTTAGTGCTAATATTAACACTAGCCAGAGCCTCTAAAATATAAAGGACAATTAGAAAAAAGAAATTGCATCTCTGAGCTTCCTGCCACTTGAAATTTTAGAATTTTGTCTAACCAAGATTTTTTGGCAAGCTATGAATATTATTTTATGATATTCCCAAGCTGCACAAAATCTCAATATAGATATTAACAAATAGTAAGTAAACCATTAGTAGAGCAAGAAATAAACTTGTACTCATACTATTAACCTAAAAAAAAAGTTATCAAAGGCTACTACATGCTAATTTTGGTAAACTGTGTGTTATAAATGGTCTTTTATGCTACGTTAGGTACAGAATATGCTCAGGCATCAGCAAGACGACCACAACATGCAAAGAAATGGAAATTTTAAGAATAACAGCCACCCATTTTAGTCCTGATTCAGGAGAGCATTTAAGCACATGTTTAAGTCCATTCTTACTTAGGTCAGCACTTAAGCATATTTAACTTTAAGTTGCTAGTTAAAGGCCATTGGCATTAGGATTTAAGAACATACTTAAAGTCCATACTCAAGTTGAATAGTTTTGTTTTCTTGGAGTGAGGCTTTAATGTCCAAGTTGGCTTTGTTTTAAAATACACCAAAACATTCTTCTTGGGGATGAATACATTTTATGCATAGAACTGTCATAACATAAACATGTTTCTTTCTATGGCATTGTTGACAAAGATCTGTTTATAGCACATATTTTCCAGATTGCAAAGTTCAGCATATTAATGTCCAATCAATGCTTATGTCAGCACACAGATAGTTGTGATGTATGGCATGCTGACATAAAACACACAAATCACGTTGCCCCATCTGCGCCTGAAATTTTAACAGAGTTCCAAATCTCCCTTCAACCCTACACAAATCTCCCACCAGCTTCTGGCAGAAACTTGGCAGGTCTGGCGATGAGCCATGGCATGGCTAGGAGTGGAGCCAGGAGAGAAGAGAATCAGGAAAGAAGTTTGCTGGCAACTAGGAGAGGCATTGTTTAAAATCACATAAAGCAATCCTGGAAAGTTCTCTAAATTGCAGGATTCACTGCATTTTTTCTAAATTAATTCTTTCAGACAAAATGTAATTATTATAGAAATATGGTAGCAATCCTATAATGAATGCCTGGGTAGGTATTCTGTTCTACTCTAGTTTCTAATCATAATTTCACCCAGAAATTCTCTTCTCAGCTGAAATTTGTAATGCTTGGTCTTAAGCCAAATGCGCGCGCGCGCGTGTGTGTGTGAGTTGTTTTAAATCAGAAGAAAATCCATTTGGTAATTTTAAAAAACAGGCTTGGACAAGACATACTGTAAGTTTTAAAAATATTAATTATTTTTTTTCTCAGACTATTCCAGACTTGTTTTCTCATACTCCTTCAATCATGTCAACAATGTAGACTTCAGGCACTGGATATGCTTATTTTTTAAATAAATATTTTTAAAGAAATTAGGGATAATTAAAATGATGTATGTACCATAAGCATATATGGAATTTTACTGTCATATAAACAGAGGGCCTTGTGTTACAGTTTGTACATTCACATGAAAGATATTTATTTTGAATAGTTGAAGCAATCTTGGTTCATCAGGATTAACTAATTTGAGAAAAAACAAGTATTTTGACCTAGTTTGCTACCCTTCATTTGCAAATCCTACTAGTTCCTATATAAATACGAGCCTCAACTTTCCTTCCAGATGTTAGAAATTTCCCAGGTTCCAAACAGATATCAGTTCCAGACAGCACAAACATATGTTTTGCTTTGTACTTTCCCATTTTAAGATAAATTAAAAACAAAGAAAATTAAATATAACACATTAAGTTCTCATCCTTAGAATTGAACTGAGTGAATAGAGATGGAAAAATGCAAAAATTAAGCTTCTTAAAGTAATATCAGCTTTTCTACAATGGATTTATACATATTTGTATACATTTAAACAGGAACTTTACTAATTCATATTACAGAAACCTAGCTAACAGTGTTGAGATAACTTTAAATTTACATGGTAATGTCCCTGTAATGGATTTGCTGGAGAGATTGGATGGAAAAAGGGGGATCTGGTAGAAGCTCGTCTGGGTAATTACAGAGTAAATATGGGGTTGCTTGTATTGTATAATTTTATCTGCTGGGTTCTTCCATACATCTAAATAATAAAGCTGTGGCCTTATTCAGCCCACATTTAATATCACCTATTTTTCTTTCAGTATAGCCAGACAAATATTTGTAGCTGAACAGGAACTATTTGATAATGGATGTGTAAGCCATTGTAGTTCTCCATAGTAGTTAAAACTGAAGTTGTATGTATTTCTGCTGTCACTCCAGAAAAGGATATGAAAGACACAGAACTAAATCAGAAAAGGGTAGTTTAGGCAAAAATGATTAGTGTTTGATTTTTTAACTAAAGGCATATTTAGATGTCCCTAAATTTTTAGCACAGGATCCAAAATAGATTATGACTATTACAATCATTTGTTTATTTCTTGTATCTTACATTCTGTCATGAAGTTGAATTAACTAGTGATGCTGTAAGCAGATGTAACCCAATTCAGGGCAGTGAGAAAAACATGCACTGTGTAATCTTTAGAACAAATAAATCTTGACATTTTCTAAAAGGTTATGTGTGAAATAATATGGTAATACCTGAACAATACACTAGCACTTACCTCTTGTCATTACTGCTTAATCCCCAAAGTACAGCTGAATCGAAAGGATAAATTATTAATACTTAAGAAACAAGTAAATTATTTATCTCCATTTGCTATTAATTACTGCTACTGAAATCATAAAATTACCCATATAATTTAGATCACCAATAAAAATTAAATAATGCTGTTTAAAAGAATTCCCTTGGGACTATCGCTAGGCTATTTTCTAATAGCTATTAGAAATCAGATTTTTGTACTAATTTTATAACATTACTTGTTTTATCATTTATAAATCAATGAAATAAGAAAAAAATTCTCAATTTTAAACAGGACAGCAGATGGAGAGGAAGGCAAAGGAAGCAATTGCCCTGGGGCCTGACCAAAGGGGCATGGAGCTCCCTGCTGCCATCGCTGTTAGTGCGGCATTGGTGGTAGCTGGAGCCTCAGGCCTTTTAAATTGAGGCCTAAGCATTGGAATGGTTCTGAGGGCTGGATTTGGTGGCAGGGCTGCAGCATGGGCAGTGCTGAGGGCTGGCTGCCCTCAGCCACATCCCTTGTGCCCGCGACCCTGCCCCTTCTGGTGATGTGCCGATGCTCCTCCTTCACCTTGCCCAGAGGCCTGAATTAGTTGTTCTTGATTTTAAATAATTATATTAACTACAATTAAGAATTGCAGTAACTACTAATGATACCTTTATTCTGTTTTAAAGTTGAATTAGCATTTCTTGCAGTCCTCTAATTTCTATTTGCACCCATGTCCAGTTTGCACTGGTTTGAAGTTATACTATGAATAGTACTTTCAAATAATTTCATGAACCTAACAGATAATATGAAAAGCAAGAATATCTACAGTAACAACTCAAACACCTAAACACATTAAATAGCTTCATCAAAAA